GATGGGTGGCAGGTCTTGTGCTTTCTATTTTTTTTTTTTTAAGATTTATTTATTTATTTGAGGGGCAGAGTTACAGAGAAAAGGAGAGACAGAGAGAGAGGTTTTTCATCCGCTGATTCACTCCCCAAATGACTGCAATGACAGGAGCTGGGCCAATCTGAAGCCAGGAGCCAGGAGCTTCCTCTAGGTCTCCCACATGGGTACAGGGGTCCACGCGGTTGGGCCATCCTCCATTGCTTTTCCAGGCGCATTAGCAGGGGAGCTGGATCCGAAGTGGAGCAGCCGGGACTCCAAATTCCCCTATGGGATGCCGGCACTGCAGGTGGAGGTTTAACCTACTAAGCCACAGCGCTGGCCCAGGCCCTGGCCTGGTCCCCATGCTTTCAGCAGCCAGGGCCTGATGCCAAGAAGGAGGAAGCGCCAGATGCCCACCTGGCTCCGTTCACCTGTCGTTCTCCTCTCTGCTCCCAGCTGCTCCCTATGACTCCACCTTCCTGCCACTCACCGAGGCTGTGATTGAAGACTTATCTGCATGGTTATTTGCTTAATGTCTGCTTCCCGCTTGTCGGCAGCTCCTGGAGGGCTGGCCTGTCTGCTTGTCCTCAGCTCTACTTCTAGTGCTGCCCAGTGCCTCCCTCCCCACAAGAGCCACTCAGAACACCTTTGCGAATACCTGGAGGCTTTTCACCACATTTTGTAGCTCCCTTCCAAGGACACACTGAGAGGGTTGCAGGGAGAAGCGGGCCCCTCCCCGCCATGCCACGTCCACGGTGTAGCTCACCGCTGACTGCTTGCATTTGCGTCCTGGGACCTTGCTTCTAGACCTGCACTGAGGCGTGGCTCTAAGGTTTCAGGAGTTCCGGGGCCCGTGCAGGGAGACCCTTTTTGCTTGGAAGGCCTGTGGGCTCTCCTTATTCATGACATGCCAGCCGCTGCTCAGAGGAGACCTGGAAGTCGCTATTTCATCTGTGCTGTTGCTGCTGCATCGTTGCCACCACGGAGGGACATTGTGCATTGGCTGAATGTCTGATTAATGTCTCCCCAAAAAGAGCTGCACAAAGACGGTTTGTTTATGTCTCTTTCCTCCTGATGAGTATCTAATTTTTCCCAAATGTCAATACATCCAAAGGTGCCAATCCAGACAGGAGGAGAAACTGCCTGCATCCCTGGATAGCAGCTGCCTCTCCTTCCTCAGGGAGGCTCAGTGCCCCCCCCCCCCCACACAGAGCCCCAGGTGGGTAGGTGTGCCCTGAGGGCTTGCATACTGTGGCCTCTGCAGAAGACGCTTTCCCTGGAGCATGGGGTCTTTCTCTGCCAGGATTCCTGTGAGCCCCGTCTGCCTCGGGTTCTTGCCTGAGACCCCTCTGTCTCCTCTCTCCATCACATCTTTCTCATGCCCCCTCTGCTTGGGAAAGCTCTCCCTCTTTTTCCCTTTCCCTCTGGGGAGTCACCCTCGGTCTCCATCCTAGGGGACAAGTCCGGTGCACAGACACCACTGCTTCCTCCCTGAGTCTGCCCTTCCCTATCAGGGACCGCAGGAGTTTCCCTTTGCCCACACGAAGTGGGAGTCTCCCTGATTGTTTCTGCTGAACCCGGCCCAGCTAATTGTGCCCGGTGCCTTGAGCTTTCCAATCTCCTCTTCGTGGGCTTGGCTGGAAGAGGGTGCTAGGCGTTTCTTTGCTTCTTGTCTCCCCCTTGACAACCCCAAGGATTCTGCTAGAGCAAACACCAATTCTTCTTCCTTGCTGGATTCCCAGATCATGGTATCCCTCGATCTTTAGAAGGTAGCTTACCTATCGTTAGCTATCTAATATCATCAGACTTCTTATAGGTACCTTATAGGGTTCATCTCGATTCTCTGCTGTCAGATTCTTCACACAGCCAGGGAGATAGAAGCTTGGAGTGACTAGGCTATCGTGACAGCAATTCCGTGTGTTTTGTAGTCCTTTATCTCACTCATCCGTCTCCCCCCACAATCTAGTACGCTAGCCCTTTCTGCAGAGGGGGAGGTGGAGGGAGAGACAGAGACAGAGACACAAAGAGGCAGAGCAGGGGGAGACCGTACAACATGAGCGAGGGCACCTCCCTCCACACTGTGCTGTGAGTCAGACTTGCTGCCCACTGTCTGCACTGGGTGTGCCCTTGCTGGCTTGTGCCCCCCGGGTGCTGTGTAAGTCCTCCCAGAGGGCGAAGCCAGGCGGTGGGCGTGGGCGCCAGTCGTGTCCCCTGTAGGCATCTCCGTCTGTGACAGCAGCACGTGCCCTTCCAGCTGGTCTGGTCCCCATGCCACTGTTTGCGAGCAGAAGTGATGGTAAATATTTAATCGTGCTTCCCCCATAACTTTCTGCCAGAACTCTCAATATGCTTTATAAATGCAAATGAGCGCCCGCTTCCTCTCCGGGGAGATGTAAGCCTCCTCAAATCACTTTTATTCAGCCCCCATCAGAGCATAATGTCATCATGAGGAGCGGCCTGTGCCAGAAGAGAGAGCGCCCTTCATCACATGGAGTGCGTGGCTTACGGGGCTGTGGTCTTCCATCTCCACGGTGGGCGGGATGGGGAGCGGTGGTTTCCTTCTGCTGCAGCTTCTGCCCAGTGTAGGGGGCTGGAAAGTGTCGGTTAAGCAGGAGATTCAATCACAGCCCTGGAGCAGGTGCCTGCGACCACCACAAAGCCTTAAATTGCACTTGTGGGCTTGATGGAACAAATGCTTGGAGTGATGGTTGATCACCTCTGGTTTTGGACTCTGTCTCGCACCACCTGCTCACTGTGCCTTCAACTGGATCCTGCAGTGAGGGAGGGGCATGCCTGATTCTGGGGGCTTTTGTGGCTTCTTGGACTGGTGAGCGAAAATCATCCCCCCACCTCGCTCCTCTCCCACCAGGGCTGCAGCCGAGGCTCCTGCAAGCCTTGATGTGCCTGGTGGGCCACGTGCTGAGGTTCCAGGTGGCCAGCACAGGATGCCAAAGCCACGTGGCTTTGCAGAAAGCAATGCCCCTTCCTGAGCCCCAGTTCCCCACTATGCGTGCGGGTTCTGTTACCCTTCTGTTGCTACAGAGCCTCCTGGAGTGGCTTCTGAGAAGCGTCTTCTGTAGATCTGGGGTGTGATTATGATCATTATTAGTGAAGTGGAGCTGGGGCTGGGGGGTGGGGGCAGCGCAGGAGGCTGCTCTGTGCAGAGAACAGCCTCCCCCACTGTCAGAGCTGCAGGGGGAAACCGGCTGGAGAAGCCTGCCCCTGTGTCTGGGCTCTTTCCGCTGCACACAGAGTACGCCTCTCCAACCAAATCCAGACTCAGCTTGGCCGAGGCAAGACAGCTTGCTTTAGTGACTTTAACTCCTGCGAGAACCCAGTGCGAGTCCACTGTTCCTCTGGGGTGGGGGTGGGGCGGCAATGCCACTCTGGTTCCAAGTAGGTGCAGAGCGTCCAGCTGTGGAGGAAGGTGCTCCCTGACCTGCTGGGCATCTACTGGTGCCCCTAGGACGCGTGTACCCTACTACCTGAGCCCTGCTTGTGGCCCACACAGGTTCTCCTCGGTGGCTTTGGTCCCCTTCATTAGACTCAGTGTGCCCTCTGGCTCTCTGTGCTCCATCAGTGCCCTGTCGGCTTGTAGGACCCACTCACTGCTCCCTCACCGTGCTGGGCTGCTGGATGTCCAAGGACTTGTGCCCTGGTCGATGCCAGAGTCCTTCTGTTTCCTGATGGGGCCAGGATTTTGCAACTCTGCGGTCTGTGGTCACATCTGCTCCCTGACGATGGTGGTTCACATGAGGAGGACAGTACAGGGCCACAGAGGGAAAACACACAAACAGCACATCCCTGATATTTCACCCACTGAGAGAGAGAAAGAGGGAAAGAGAGAAAGAGAGAGATCATCCATCTGCTGGTTCACTCCCCAGATAGCTACAGCAGCCAGAGCTGAGCTGATCCAAAAGCAGTAGCCTGGGTCCTTCCAGGTCTCCCACATGGGTGCAGGGCCCAAAAGACTTGAGTCATCCTCCACTGCCTTTGCAGGCCATCAGCAGGGAGCTAGAAGGGAAGTGGAGAGTTGGGACATGAACCGGCACCCATATGGGATGACTGGCTTCGAAGATGGCAGCAGCCTAACCTGCTGTGCCTGAACACTGGCCCCCAGACCAGTTATTTACAGGAAGGCCTTGGAGGACTCAGTCATGGGAACATACGCCTCCACCTCGCAATGGGACGAAGATTTGGACAGACGATTCACCCGAGAAGGCACGTGGATGTGTTTATTATCTTGACTGTGGTGATGGTTTCCAGAGTGCAAACGTACGCCAAAACTTAGCAAACAGCATGACACTTGAACTACATGCTGCTGTATCAAGGGCTCCCGGCAGCTCCGGGCAGAGTCCTGGCTTCCGTCTGTCCCTTTCTGTGATCAGAGAGACCTTGTTAGCCAGGATGCTGGCTGCCGCCGCCACCCTCACAGTCTCGTTGCTGGCAGTCGCTGGCTGCTGGGTTCTGAGCCGCTCCTTGGTGCTGTGGGTGAGCCCTTTTGCCACAGCCGTGTGAGTCCCCAGCAGAACCCTGGGGAGGGAGGCAGGTGGGGATGGCCATGCCTTGGGAGAGGGGTGTGGCATCCTCCGGGGGAGGCAGAGGAGGGTGTAAGAGGAGAGAGGAGGCTGAAGGAAGAGGCTGGAGAAATAGGTCAGTGGGTAGGAAGAGGGCAAGAAAGAGGCGCCCCGGGAAGGCCTGGGGAACTGGGTCCACAGCCCCGGGAGGCCTGTGAGCACAGTGGCCCCGAAAGAAGCTGGATCTGTGGGGTGATGTGGTGGGCGTGCAGACGGCTTCTCTAGAGCTCCAGGGAGAAGTCTGAGTCCAACTCCGCCTGGAGCCCCGCCGTCTCAGCCTCCTTCTCTCTCGGACGCCCAGGGCTCCTCCTAGCCCCGGCGTTTTCTGCCATCCACCACTTTGTGAGCATAAGGGCCACCGTCTACCGATCCCTGGACTCATCAGTTTCTGTCTTTTTTGTTCTGCAGAGACACTCATGGACACCAGGACAGCTACTGCAGAGCTGGGCTGGACAGCCAATCCCGCCTCGGGGGTGAGTCAGACTGGCCAGCTCTCAATCCGCTATTGCCCGGGACCTCCAAAGGGTGGTGGAGGGAGCAGAGCCTACCTGGAGCAGAACCTGTGGGGGCAAGAATAGAGGGAGGAAGCACCGCTGTGCCTTGCCCATCTCTGAGAGGCAGCCGCAGGGTCTCAGACCTGCGATGCTCCCTAGTGAGCTGCTGGGGACCATCTGCTGAGACAGTCCTCCTACAGAGCTGGCCCTCAGGTGGCTGGGGCCTGGGCTGTGTGTGCATGGCGCAGTGGCTGCTAAGGGCTCACACTCAGACTAGTGGCCTCGCAGGTGATCAGAGCTCCACGGTGCCCACAGGGAAGCAGAGAGGCAAGGCGTGAGGGCGGGGCTGCCCCTCAGCAGGGCTAGTCTCTTTCACCTGGAACTCTTCCTGAGAGATGTTCTCCACTTGTTTGATGGCCATGCACCTGGCCAGACACTCTCCCGTGTAGCGCTGGAGAGTTTGGACAGCAGCTGTAGCCCAGGCCTGGGAGGGAGACAGGCAGCCTTTGCACGGCTTTGGAGAATGAGTTTGACAGCTGGTGAGTGAAGAGTCGAGAAAGAGGTCCTCAGTAGGAAGACTAGCTGGTCCCGAGGAATAGGGTCATGCAATGCTGGGGGTAGGATCGGAGGTGGGGAGTCTGTGTGTCAGGGGTTGGGCAGGGTGCAGGGGCGAGAGCTGGGGCTCAGGGCTGGCTGGGACCGTGGCCTGATAGGGAGGGACCATGACTGCCATCCCCAAGCAAGGGAATTGTGTTTGATCCTGGAGGTAATGGGGAGAACAAGTGGCCACACCTGCTCCTAGGGTGATGGGGAACAGTTGAGAGAAAGGCATTTCAGAGTGTCCTTCAGCTGTCTTGGGTGTGTCAGAGAATCAGATTAAAGGGTCGTGGGGGTGGTTTGGAGAAGCTAAGGAGGAGGAGCTGGCATCGGGTAGCCTGTGGTGGGTGGGAGAGGAAGTCAGGAGATAAGGCTGTGTCCCTGGCTCAAGCATTGGCCAGCTTTGGGGCTGAATCGAGAGGGGGGAGAGAGCAGGAGGAGCAGGTGTGATCTTCACCCAGCCAGGGGGCGAAGTAGGGCTGGGGCAGAGGGGCCAGGACAGAGGGTGCCCTAGGCTTCCTCATCTGCCCCATCTTCTCTCTGTCCCTGTGCCTGCAGCCTAGGGGCGATCAGCCTGGCAGGGCCAAATCGCATAATGACCAGACCTCACAAGCTCTTGTGCTGCCGGAGGGAGGGGTGGTTCCTTCCCTTGGGGACACTGGAGCCCCGGGGGCAGGCATGGTCTCTCAGGCACAGCGTCACGCCCAGGGGGCAGGGGGAGCGAGGTTCAGGGTGAGCTGGCATTCTCCAAAGCAGAGCAGGGGTCTGAGGCAGAGGCTGCCCACTCCAGCCCAAGTGCGGACCCTGCTGGGGCACTGGGGGTGGATGGAGACTGCCCCACTTCTGCCTGGGACTTCATGCAAAGCGGATGGGCAGCAGCCCTTCCCGCTCTCCCCGATGCTGACAGTCTTGCTGCTCACATGGTTGTTGGCAGGCATCGCCGGGGATTCTCCCTCTTGATTTTTGTGCACAGCGCCTGCCTTCTTTACGCTTTCCCATCTCGCTTTGCTCCTTGGGGGGAAGCAGTCCCGCTGAGCGAAGCCCTTTAGAGACAGCAGCTGCCTGGGCCGCTCTGTTTGCCCTCCCCACTTCTGCCGGTCCCCAGAGCGCTTCTAACGGGAGCCTATAACCAGGTCTTTCTTCTGCTGGTGCCCCGAGAGCTTCTGAGCCTGTCTGGTTGGCAGCAGCTGGAGGGATGGTGAGACTGATCTGTGGCTGGGCAGGGCCTCTCTGGTCCTCTTCTCCCCTCCCTGTCTGTGGCTTCCAGCTCTGCAGGTACAGCAGTGCTCCCCAAGTTTGTGTCCCTGACCTGGGCTCACACATCCAACTGCCACGCCTTTGCTGGAGTGCTCGCGGGCGTGTGACCTCAGCACCGCCGCCTGGGAAGACTCCACCTCCCCTTCCTGCCCCCAGCCATGCCCATGGGCTCCCGCTCTGTGCTGGCATGTGGTGAAGACCTGAAATCCAGCCTTCGTCATCCCCGCTCAGAGACCCGTTCCTGGCATCCCAGGCGTGTTGGATTCAGTGTCACAAGTCTTCCCGGTGCCAGCCAGCTTTCCCCAGCGGCATCAAGCACAGTTGAAGACTGCTTCTGGAGCTCTTAGGGCTGGGTTCATTCCCATGCCCTCTCTCCCCTCTCCAGCCCCATGACGCCCTCCCCAAGGCAGGACTCACATCTGATTCACCACTGGACTCCATGGATAGCTGCCGAACGTTTCTGACTGGGGCACATGTGTCCTTGGAGATGAGGGCGTGGGGTGGGGAGTACACGTGGGTGGGAAGAGGCTGAGCTCCGTCTTGGGCGTGCTGAGCTTGCAATGACTCTGGGTGTCAGTTGGGAGTGTGCCCGACACCAGGCACCAATTTAAGGGCAATGCACTCACTCAGATGGCAGCTCTGAGTGTAGGGGAGAGGCTTCAGCTCCCCGGGAGAATGCATGAGGAGAGGAAGAGGTGAGAGCTTTGGAGAAATCACATGTCAAGTGGCGAAAGAGGAGCCGAGCGGGTGTGACGAGGGAGGCAGGAGAAACTAAGAAGGCGTCCTGTCTTCCAGGCCCAGGGAAGGCTGAAGAGCGTTCCCACTGGGTTCAGCGAAAGGACCCATATGTTTGGCTTCAGGGGGCACCAGGGCAGGAGGCCCGAAGGCAGGGGTTGAAGAGTCAGAGGCAGTAGAGGTAGCAGTTTGTAAGGGAGGAAAGGCAGAGCTGGGAGCCGAGGCGCAGGGGGCTGTGGGCACATTTACCTCTCGGGGGAGGAGCTCCTGTTGGGTTGAAATGGCAGGACAGAGTTCAAGGTGCCCACAGAGAGGTGAGAATGCTCCGGCTTGGGGCAGAAGCCGACATTTGGAAAAGCTTCTGAGGTCAGAGGCCAGCTTTGGAGAGTGAGTGAGGGGCGGAGCAGAGTCAAGCCGACCCCTCCCAGGAGCTGGGGAGAGGCGAGGCCTGTTCTGGAGGGGTACAGCGGGCTGAGCAGTGGCTGAAGGCCAGGCATTGCTGGCAGCCCAGACCTGCAGCCCCCTTCAGAGGCCAGGAGATGGTGGGGTGGTGGAGTGAGCCAGGGTTATAGCTGGATGAGAAAGAACGCTGGGACAGAGGGGTGCGGAGCTGAGGGCATTGACGGGAGGTGATGGGCAGGTTGTATCATGGCGTCTACTGGACAGGAAAGAGACAGAAGCCAGGCGGGCCTGACCCTTGGGACCAAGTCCAGGGACCCTCGGGGAGGGGTGTCAGGGGGGCTGTAGGACAGGGGTTGGGGCAAGGTTGAGATGGGAGGAGTGGAGGCTGTGGCCTTCAGTAAGGGCTTGGATTTGAAACGTGCACAGCCCTTCTGGGTGGAGGAGGGCTTGGGAGTGGGCCCAGGATGGGGGCTGGAGGGACAGAATGGGGTCACACCTTCCGGGAACCCAATAGTGGGGAGCTGTGGGGGTGTGGAAGGGGCTCCCAGGTGGCAAAAAGGCCTCTCTCTGCAGTCAGGACTCCGCTCATGTGAGCCTGAGATGGAGGGAGGGAAGGGGTGGCCTGGTTCTGGGGGCCTGGAGGAAACCGGGCCTTCCCACGCAGAACAGGTGCCACAGCCCTGCCTGGAGGCCCAGCTGCCACTGCAGGGGCTCTCTTCCCGGCGCATGCCCATGCGGCGGCTCCCCAGAGACAGCCCAAGGGACTCTTCCTGTTGGGGGCTGCCTGGCCGCTTTGCTCTGTGGTGCTCGAGAACTGCCAGTTACGCGAAGGGTAGTGACAGGATCCCCCATGTGCACGCGGGCCCCACGTCCTTTTCAGTGACGCTCCTGAAAACTGACCGTAACATTAACTTCTCAGACCAGAACATCTTTATGCCCCAGTTCAAACCGCTGCTTTCTAATTAAACAGCAGCAGCCTGCCTTTACCTTTGGCCTTTAGGGTTAATGTAAATCCTGGTGAGCAGCGGGAGGAGGCAACAAACGCATTCATAAAGTGACAAATGCCAGGGAGGAGCTGTGTGCTCCCATGCAAGGCTGCCCGGGGCCCTTCCCTGTGGTCCCTGGTGGCCACTTCCCCAGGCGGCAGCCCTGGCCTGCCCACCACGTGTCAGGACCCCTGAGTAAGCACGGGCAGTGGCCTTCATGGTTACACTGCTCTCTTAGATGTGGACTCTCGCCCTCCTCCCTAACTCTCGCTGGCCCCCGGGTGCCAGCTCTGCTCTCATCCCCTCTGGGGCCCTCTCGGGTGTCCTGAACTTAGGGGACGCTGAAGTTGGGTCCATACAGTGTTTGCTGTGGGCCTCATAGCACCCCGTTGGCAGTGAGTATCTTTATAGAGAGCGACCTTGACCGCACAGACGGAGCCACTTCCCTGATTCCCTGAGATCAGCAGGACAACAAAGCATGGGGTGCCCAGAGGTCGGTCTCTGGCGCTTTTGGCCGCTGGCTGTGAAGTACGAGACGGGCTAGCCCAGGAACCTCCGATAGCCAGGCGTGTTCACCTCGCTTGTCGGGAATCCCAACCCAAGCCCTTTCACTTGGAAGAGGCTGGCCAGGGCTCATTGTCTGTCTGCCCCCCAGCCGCTGATGGGCGCTGTGTGTCTTTGAGAGATGCGGCCTGAGTGTGACCATCCACCCCAGCACTCCTCTCCCAGGAGCACTGGCCTTCCAGGCTCCAGCTCCATCTGGGGTGCTGCTGGAACCGCTGGGACCCTGGGCAGTGAGCACCAGGGCAAGGGGACTTGTAGGGGGACAGGAGTCCTGGGCCCAGGTCAGCCAGGATCGGGGTGAGTCAGCTGTGCTTGTGTGTGTCCATGTATGTATGTGTGTGCCTATGTGTGTGTAAACATTATACCTTGGATTTCAAAATGTTTTGCACCAAAGTAAACTTGCCTATGAACTTTCTGAAGCTCCCTTGTACATACATA